GGGCGGCCCGTTGCCACGGCAACCGCTTCCTCCCCCTGCTCGGGCCTACCCGCCGGTGACAGGCCTGGGCAGGGCTGTTAGAAACGAGACGTAGCGTTGGTTTTGAGTTCTGGTGTTAGATATAAATCTGTCCTAGTGTTAGAAACCAGGAGTGGTTTGTGGCCCAAGAAACTGAGGGAGTGAATTGGGCTCCGTCTTGTGAGGAGTGAAACGTGGTGTTGATTTTGCATTTTAGTGTTAGAAACATAGTGTCGGGTTTGGTTTATATATATATATATATATATCCTAGTGGTTTAAATATATCGTTTGTTTGAGATAGGTGAGATTTCTGCACATTCCAAGGACACCAGGAGCAGGTTTATGGCCCAGGAAACTGAGGGAGTGAATTGGGCTCCATCTGGGGATCTGAACATGGAGAAGGATTGATGGCCCAAGGTCAGACCCAACAAAGCCCCTTCTGTCCTGCTGCTCAGGGCAGGGTGACACCAGTGGGTTTGTTAACTGGGAAGGCAGCCAAGGGGGCAAGAATGGTCAGAATTTTACCTGAAAAGGTAAAAAGTGACCTGCTATGTGTAAACAGGGGCGGGAAACTTATAGGATCATTAAAAGGTCGGATGGGCTGTGAAGCCTGGAGTGCCCAGCCAGTGGGGAAACGGGAGGGAACTTTGGGAATAGGGAATAAAAACTGTTATTCACCTCGCTATGGGTGTGCCTGCTTGTTTAGGACACCCATTCCTGCAAGAAGGTAAATAAACTGTGCTCTGCTGAAGGGTCTGGGTGGGCCTGTTCATTGGCGCCACAAACGTTTCTCACGGGGGGGAGCCTTCCCCACCCCACAGAGCCTTCTCCACCCCACGGAACCTTCCCCACCCCACGGAGCCAGAGCCTTCCTCACCCCACGGAGCCTTCCCCACCCCACAGAGCCTTCCTCACCCCATGGAGCCTTCCCCACCCCACGGATCCTTCCCCACCCCACAGAGCCTTCCTCACCCCACGGATCCTTCCCCACCCCATGGAGCATTCCCCACCACACGGAGCCTTCCCCGGTCCCACTGGCGCGTCTTTATTGATCACAGAGCAATGGTGCTCCCGTGGCGACCCCTCCCCAGGCCTTATCCCCCCTCCCCATCCTGGCGCTGGGTGCCAGGGAGGTGGGAGAGCAGCGTCTCGCCGCGTTGTCCGGCTTCCCACCCAAGCGTAGGGCTTGGAGTCCCCCGGGGGTGGAGGGTGCAGCTACGGGGATGGATCCTGAGGTGTCTGTGTCGTTGGGAAACACAGCTACGGGCATCTAGGGCCCAACCCGGGGTGTTGGGGGAGCGGGGTGGGTGTTCCCCGGTGAGCAGGCAGCAGGTCAGCTCTTATTTGTCACCCTCCTCCTTGTCTTCGTCGTCTTTCCCCCCCTTGAGTTTGTGGCGAGCGAATTCCTCGATGACGATGTCCTCGGCGCTGGGAAGGGAGGGAGGAGGCAGGTGAGGAACCCACCCTGGCGTGCAAAGAGACACCCAAACCCTCCTCCTCCTCGGGGACAACCACCCAGAGGGCACCCCAGCCCGGCACAGGGTCACTGTGAGCACACAAATCTGGGGCAGACCCAGCCTGGCTGCAAATGTGTCTCTGACCAAACCCAACTGCAATTTCCAGCCTGTTATTTTTTTTGTGGTAAGACAATGTTTTGCATTGTCAAGGGGAAAATAAAAAAGAGGAAGGAAAAGGCCTTAAAGTGGAGACAAAGGGATGAGTTACCTTGTGGTGAAAGGCAAGGAGTAGATGACGTCAAGGGAGAGGCACCAGGTGAAAAATGGGGGAAGAAAATGGAAAAGAAGAGTCAGCAAAACTGCTCCCAAAAGCCTGTGAATGTGAAACGACTTGGCAAAACCTACAGGGAGAAGGGGTGGGGGTGGGCCAAGGGGTTTCCTCCTCTGGAAGTTTAAATATCATTGCTGAGCTAGGAAACTGGTGGGCTGGGGTGGGAAAGCCCTGCAGTCGCAGCCTGAGGTCCCAGGCTCCAAACCCCGGTGCTCGTGTCCTGTTGCAGGGTGTAACCAACACCAAACCAGCCAGGGCTGCCAAGAACGGGTCTGACACACTGAGGCTTCCCAGAAGGAAGAAACCCCAGCTGGAATAGGTTTGTGTGGTGGGAGCAGAAGAGGCTTCTGACAACGGGGACAGGGGCTTCCAGTGACTGAGGGGCCTCAGCACGGGACCAAGGGGACATGATGTCCAGCAGTGACACTTGTGACTGGGAGGCAGAGCAGTGCTGGCTGTGTCTGAGGGACAAGGAGAGGAGTGGGAGCAGCTGGAGGGGCTGCTGGCTCTGCAGCAAGGGGAGCTGCAAAGCTCAGGCCTGGAAGTCTGCAGAGCAGGTGCTGAGACAAGCACTGGGCTCCTCCCAGGCTGTGACAACGCTCCTGCTGCCCGTGCCACTCTGGGGGTGTCACACCATTTGCTGGGACACAGGGGCTCAAGACTGTGAAGCCTGGGGGGATTTAATCCAAGGAGGTAATGGGGCTGGAATGGGGCATCAGGTCCATCTGTGATGGATCTGTCACATCCGCCTGCCACGGATCTGTGGGGTTTGTGTGTTAGAGGAAACACTGGCTTGAGCTAGAAGGAAGTGTCTCTTTACCTTGCCTTGTCTGGAGCCCATTGATAAGCAAAGCACAGGGAGGCAAGGATGGGGAGAGAGACAGACATGTGGGTTAGTACAGAAAGGATACTGCAAATAACAGCTCTTCTTAATGACCTTTAAGGTCCCTTCCCACCCAAACCATCCTATGATTCTGTGATGAATGCTCAGATGTTTTTTTTTCCCAGCAGGAGACGTTGGGGTGGGCAGCAGCTGGGGTGCTGTGGGGAGGAGAGCTGCTCCCCTGCTGCTCCTGGGCAGAGCAGGGCCCTTTTGCAGGGAGGTGGCTGCACCAGACTGATCTTACCAGTTCCCCTCCCAACGTTTTGCCATCCTCCCAGGTGCTACTCACCTTCTGGAGGCTTCGGGTGCATCAGGGTGACGGGCATCTCGACGCCGACGTCGCTGGAAGGAAGAACATTTCTCTCAACACCCCCCAACCCTGCCCCCCATAGGGGCTCAACCCCCCACCCCGGGCAGCTCCCCCCTTACCTGGCAGTGAGATCCCCCAGGATGCTGCAGCAGAGGGAAAGAAGGGACAGAAATCAGGCAAGGCAGAGGACAGGATTGGTTAAGACTTTGCTTTCTAATAAGGTAGAAGATGATTTATAATAGCGATGAAGGGTGGTGGGGTGGGAGGGGTGGGAGGCAGAGAGCAGCCCCACAGCCTGGGGGAATGGATGAGGGGCCCATGGGCTGAGTCCCTTCATCATCTCCCCTCTGGTAGGAGATCCCACAGCACAGCCCCAGGGGGTGGTCCCTGCCCCCCCCGGTGCCCACAGAGCCTCACCCTCCTCGGGACACCATCAGGTTGACCTTCACTTTGTAGGACACCAGGATGCCCAGCACCTCCTTGTCCATGCCGGGTCTCAGCCTAGGAGGAAGGCAGAGGAGGGTGGTGGGGTGGGCAGTGCTGCTGGCAGACCCCACTGCTGCACCCAGGGTTGTCCCCAGGCCCTCTTTCATGTGGGGTTTAGCAGGAGAGGACAACACGACGTGCCAGGGAGAGAAGGGGGAGGGCAGGACGCTCGGGTGAAGCTGTGGAGCCGTTTTTGGAGGCCACTTGAGCAGCCTGAGGTGGGATTGGCTCCCAAGGCAAGACCCAGTGCAGCTCAGCAGGGGATGCTGCAGGTGGTTGGGACTGGGAAGCTACGGGTCCCACCAGATGGAGAGGTGGCTCCGTGCCCGTGCCACAGAACCCCTACATTTTCCAGCTGGATAGGGTGGGCTCGGGCACAGGAACCCAGGGCATCCTGTGCTGTGGGAGAGGGAGGAAGGTCTGGCTGTGGTGGGGAAGCCTGCCCAGCTCTTACACGGTGGTGGAGGCCAGGTTGGTGTCCTCGTGCTTCAGCTTCCCATCCAGAGCCAGGCCCCGCTTCTCACGGTTGGCTGAGAGCAGGGGGGTGACCGAGTATGTTTTGGAGAAGGTGGAGTTGGCTGGGACGTTCTCACTGCAGGGGGTGGGAGAGGAGAGCTCAGAGCCAGCCTGGTGGGCACTCAGACCCCTCTGGGGATGCTCAGCACCCTCCGGGGACGTTCAGCACCCTCTGGGGATGGCTCAGCCCCCTCTGGGGTTGCTCAGACCCCTCTAGGGATGCTCAGCCCCCTCTGGGGATGCCCAGCACCCTCCAGGGATGCTCAGACCACTCTGGGGATGCTCAGACCCCTCCAGGGATGGCTCAGCCCCCTCCAGGGATGCTCAGCACCCTCCGGGGATGCTCAGCACCCTCTTGGGACGCTCAGCCCTCTCTGGGGATGCTCAGCCCCCTCCAGGGATGGCTCAGCCCCCTCCAGGGATGGCTCAGCCCCCTCCAGGGATGCTTAGCACTCTCTTGGGACACTCAGCCCTCTCTGGGGATGCTCAGCACCCTCTAGGGATGGCTCAGCCCCCTCTGGGGATGGCTCAGCCCCCTCCGGGGATGCTCAGCCCCCTCTGAGGATAGCTGAGCACCCTCGGGGATGTTCACCCCGTCCGAGGATGCTCAGCTCCCTCTGAGGATGCCCAGCCCCCTCCGGGGGTGCCCAGCACCGCCCCAGGCACCCGGGCAGAACCAGACACCCCGGCCCTCTCCTCAACAGCTGCCTGGGCTCGTTTCCTCCTTCCATTCCCATCTACAACCACTTCTTTTTTCTGCCCCCCGCCCCAGAGATGAGCAGCAAGGCAAGAAGGCAGCTGGGGCAGCTCCGCACCTTCCCCAGGGGCTTCCCCAGCACACACCGGGCTGGGGGGTCACAGCCTCCCCAACCTCCCCTCTCTTCTGCTGCTTTTGCATCTGCTCTCCTAACCCTGCTATTTTTGTTGCCTGCTGTCAAACCACCTTCCTCACCCCTTCTTCCCCCTCCTCCTCCTTTCTGTTCCTCCCTCCCGCACCTGCCCCAGCCCCTCTTTGCTCACATGAACTCCTCGGTGCAGACGGTCTTTGCATATTTATCCAGTGAGTAGAGGACCACGTCTGTGGTCTGCTCGACTGAGGAGACACCGGGGGGGGGGAGCAGCGTTGGGGGAGGCAGCAGGGGCACAGACACCCCATCCCCCAGCCCTGACAGGGAGGCTGGGGATGGGGCGGCCCCTCCCTGCCCACCTTCTCACCTGAAATCTTCACCTTCTTCACGATCTTGTTGGTGGTGTTGTTGATGTTGACGTTGACGTTGATGGGGTCTCCGTGGTAGAAGATCTGCAGTGGGAGGAGGTTGGATGAGCGGGCCCCCCCGGCCCCCAGCCCCGGGGGGTGCACCCGGTGGCACAGCCCCCACGCTCACCTCTTTCTCCAGGGAGGCTTCGAGGTGCAGGGGCTTGTCAGACATCATGAACTGGCGGGTGGTCTCTGCCTTGGGGCCCGGCCCCGTGGTCACGGGGGCAAACTGGATCTTGCGGATGATGAGACGCACCGAGTTCCTGGGGGGTGAGAAGCTGTCACCCCCAGCTCCGTGGGGGTCATCGTGGCCTCCCAGGGGGACACACTGGGGGACATCACAGTGTCTCCAGGATGCAAGCTGCAGGAGGGCACTGATGCAGGGACAACTGCCTGTCCCTTGGGCAAAGTGCCCTCTCCAAGCATGGCCCAGGCTGGCAGCAGGTCCTCAGCCTGTCCCCTGAGCTGGCTACCCCAAAACCATCTGGTGGTTCAGTTTTAGGGCCCGGGGGCAGGAAAGGGATCCCTGGCAAATACCTCTTGTGAATTTTCTCCTCCAGATTTTCAGCACAAAATCCTTTGACCTCGAAGTCCACACCGCAGGCCTGGGGGTACATGCATGGTCACTAAGCAGGAGGGGCTCAGAGCTGCCTGAGGTTTAGATTCATTCCCCTTCTTCCTCCACTGCATCCGCAGAGACCTTGGTCCCAGCTCCAACCATCCTTCCTCCCCAGCCCTCACCCCGTAGCCGTGTCCCCATGAAAGAGAAGCTGCTCTTGGTTTTGGCACCCCACAACTTAACGCCTTGCCAGGGGGGAATGGACCCAGGGGACGTGGGCTGGGGACAGAAGCTCACCTTTCCCACATCGTCTGGTCCTGGCTGGAGGGTGACTGAGCAGGGCAGGTTGGTGGCAATCTGGGTAGAAGAGGGAAAGCGAGATAGATGTGGATAAAGAGAGTGCCCAGAGATCAACCCTGGTGCACACGTGGGGGTGCGTGGTGCTGAGCAGCCCCTACCTCGAAAGTGAAAGGGTAGGCATTCTCCCCGAGCTTCTTCATCAGCTTATCCTGCAGAGGAGTGAGGGTTTTGGGTGTCTGGTCGGGCACTGGTGGGTAGAGCTGGGTGGTCACGACGTAGATGTCCTTCCTGAAGGACAAGCCGATAACGTCGAGGTCGTCTCGGCCGTAGCGGAAGGCGCAGGTCAGCGTCACGTAGACTGGGGAGGAGAGGGGAGAGGGGAAGGGGGAAGTACAGGGAAGGCAGAGGTGGAAAAGGGTTGAGTGAGAAGGAAGGAAAGAAGGTGGAGTCCCCATCCTCGAAGGGGTTTCAAAGCCGTGTAGATGTGGGTGCTGAGGGACATGGTTTAGTGATGGCCTTGGCAGGGCTGGGGGACGGTTGGACTTGGTGGTCTTAAAGGTCTTTTCCAACCAAAACAATTCAATGACAAACTAGTAACACTTTAGGAGAAGTGTGACTCCGTTACCAGGGCCTGGACCTCAAACACTAAGTATAAAGTTAACAAGGTCCACTGCTGCTTTCTGCAAGGCACAGGGAGCTTCAGAGCTGGTGCCCCGGGCAGGAGAGATGAGAAGAAAGGAACAGCCTTCCCCTCCAGGCTAGCTGCTGTGGCCCTGATGTACACTGAGCTGTAGATGACCCACTGCAGGTTTAACCTGACTACAGGCCCAGGTTGCTTGTGAGCTTTGCACTGGTTTCCACCCCTTCCCCTCACAACGTGGGGGTTTGTGTCTTAATACCTTTTCTGTCCTCTAGGTACTCCGGGTCGATCAGGCAGATGCCATCTGCAAAGAACCAGAGAAGAAGGGCTGGTGAGCTTGGCTGCCTGGGAAGATCCTTGTAAAAATGCAGAGCTTTTTAAAGTCAAGTAAGATGCTCATCAGCTGGGGAGACAACCAAGGGGAGCTGCTGGTCAGGGGGGTGGTGATGCCTCCTCCACCATCTCCACCAGCAGCACAGCCAGCTCGTTTTGCAAAAGGGGCTTTGTCCCTTTCCCCACCATTTTTCTGTGAGGGTATTTGCAGGTAAACTGTTCATTTGCTCCTCTACAGCTGCCCTTGCTCCTCCAGCTCCAGCAGGAAGCAGAGGCAGGCAACCACTGGCACAGGGACAGGTCTCCCATGCCACTTGCTGCTCTTGCTTCCATGGCATGGACCCCACTCACCTACAGTGTCCACCTTGTCCACGTGATCCACAAAATCCCTTTTCCCCAGGTAAAGGGATAGCTGGAGGCAGCACGTAGCAAAAGGAGAGAAGGGGATGGGTTAGACTTTGCCACTGGACCCAGCAAAGCTTTTCAAGCCCTGGGGTGTGTGGTGGGGCTCGTTCGTCCTGCCGCGGGTGCGTCGGACGAGGCCCCGCGTTGGAGGGTTCACATAGGGAGTGGTTTATTTCTGGTTCTGAAACGTGAGCCCTACAGTGGCGTGGCAGGAGTCAACCAGGAGATGCCAAAGGGAAGGAAAACACAGCCCTGTGGCCCAGCCTGTGGGCAGAGCCACCACAGGGAACCCCCAGCACAGCCCACGCCGTGGGGACAGAGCGCGCGGTCCCGTCTCTGCGGGCACGGACTCACCTTGCCATTGGGGCTGGTCTTCTTGAACACCCTGTGGAGGAAACATGGACAGGTGGGTTGGGAACACCCTGGATGAGGTTGGATGTGGCACAGTCAGCTCCCCGGGGCAGGGAGGGAGGGCAAGGAGGTGAGGGCTTCCTTGTGACCAGGATGCATCTCCAGCAGCTACGCCAGAGCGTGCACAGGGTGTCCTGGCCTTGGGGAATTCAGGGTCCTGCAAACTGGGACCCTGGACCTGCACCCAGGGGGGGCCACGGCCCTGAGCTCAGCGTGTGGCCCTGGAGGAGGGTGAGCAGTGGCAGCTGTGGCTTGTGGGCAAGGGAGAGAGGAGAGGGAGAGGAGAGGGAGAGGAGAGGGAGAGGAGAGGGAAGAGAGAAGAGAAAAGGTGCTTTGCTGGCCCTGTGATGGCTGCAGTGGGCACATCAACCCTCTTGTGGGGGTAGCAGGTGGGGGCAGCTGGAGGGCTCTGCCTCACAGCCCCCTGCTCCATCCCAACCAAAGAGAAAGGAATAAAAATAGGGGGGAAAAAAGGGACACTTACTTTCCTTCTGCCATTTTAAGTCAGCAGCCACACGGGCAAGGATCTGTGGGGAGAGATGAAGGGGAGGTGCTGAGTGAGGTGGTGGAGAAGGGGCAGCACTGGGCATTTCTAGCCAGTGTGACAGAATCCCTCTGGATTCATCCCAAGGAACTGCAGAGCCCACAGGATTTGGTGCTGCTGAGCTCAGGTGCTCAGGGTCCTGCTGGGGCTCCTGGACACACAGAAGGGACACGGTGATGGCTGGAGACCTGGTGGAGCAGCCAAGCCCAGTAAAGCCCTCAACCCTGGCTGAAAATGTGGTGAAGAGGAGGAGGAAAGGAAAAAGGGAGAGTGGTGCCCCAGGTAAGCAGGCTTTAGAAAATAGGGGTGGCTCCCAAGGAAGTGAGTTGAAGGCTGGGAAAGGTGAGAAAATGAACAAAAGGGCTTGTGGAATTTCCATTAGTGACTGTTTCTTGCCTGCAGGAAATGGGTTGTCATGGCTTAATGGCAGGAAAGGGCTCATTTTGTCCCATCCTCCATGGAAGAGTGAAGAAACCACAGGTAGAAAGGTCGAGGGCAGCTGAACTGCTCTGTGGGCAGGGGGGTTTGGGGTGCATGGCCCCAGCCCATGGCCCCTCCATCCCCATCACTGGGTTCCTCACCCCCAGAGCCCAGCCAGGGCTGCCCAGCCCTACCCGACCATGCTGCCTGTGTTTGGTTTCCCCAAGCCTTGGAGTTCAGAATTAAATGGTAAATATCACGCTGATCATTATCTGATTCACAGGGGGATTAGATGGGATGAGCTCAGCTTCTTAAATATAGGCAGCTCTGATATAAGCAGAGCTTAAGCCCAGGCAGGATTTTAAGCCCCAGGTGCACGTGGGGCAGAGTTGCCTCTTCATGCAACTACAGGGATGCTGGGGAGAAAGAAAAAATTGCCACAGGGGGAGGAGATGATCCTCTTCCCCACGGAAAAACAACAAGGGATTAGTCCAGAGCACAGGATCTTTGGTGCCTTCAGGTGCTGTGGGACGTGGAGCTCAGGCATCCTCACCTGCAGGGCTTCTTGGGCAGCAGCAAGAGAAGGTGCAAAGGGAGCAGGAGCAGAGCAGTGCTGCAGGCTTGTCCCTCTCCACAGCCCAGGAATTGGAGACAAGACAGTGGAAGGTGGAGAAAAGCTGGACCCCTCCTCTGGGTCTCCCAAGGCCCAGAGAGAGAACTTGGACCCCTCCTGGCTTGGCTAAGCTCCCCAGGTCCTCCACGCTGAAAGACTTCTGGCCACATCTCTCCCCTTCCAGCCCCCAACCACTCTCCCTCCACCCACTGCCTGGCACCAACATCCCGAGTGTTCCACAAACCAGCAGAACCCATGTCCCAGGGCACTGGCAGGACCCAGAGCAGGCAGCACTCACCTGGCAGCCGCACAGACAGACACTCTCTTCTTCCTCTCCCAACACGTCCCAGTGCCACCCAGTCACTATGGGGTTGCTCCCAGACCTGTAGCTTCTTATACCCCCAGCAGTGGTCCCTCCCCTGGGATGGGACCCGGCAGGCAGGGCTGGGCAGGGCTGGGTGGGTGCTCGGCAGGAGGAATCAATCCTCTTAGTTTATTAACTGGGGAGACGCTGCAGGAGTAAGAGTGAGCTATAAATAAGGCTGCTTCTGGGACCCTGAGAAAGCAGCTTAAGGAGATTGGCAAAGCAGGCTTAGGGGCAAGGTGATGGTAATTGAGGTGGAAGCTCTGGTGCTGGGTGGGCAGGGGCACGGGCGGGTTCCCACGGGGGCTCTCGTGGCAAGGAGAGCTGGATGGAGATGGCAGAGGAGAGAGAGAGGGACCTGCTGGGTTTTGTCCCTCCCTTACAAGCTTTGCTGGATAGTTAACAGATGGGCAGGAGATGCAGGCAGCTCCTTGCACAGCCAAGGTGCCCAGCTGGCTGGTCACCTCGAGGTGAACTGCTGTGGTCCAGGGCACATGGGACGCTCTTGACACAGGGATGCTGATGTACCAGACAGGGGGGCAAAGGTACAGGCAAGAACTGGGGCTGCAGCAGCAGGTCCCACATCAAGCTTCACTCCTCCTGAAGCAGCAAGGGAGGGCTGGCCACCCCTTGGTGGGGGGACACAGACCCGCCACTGTCCCTCAA